AAGTATTTCGATTTATTACTGCTCTCGAAGTTCTTGAATATGCATGTGAACAACAACAAAAAAAACTTTGCAACAGATATATTCAAACGTATATATGTCTTTGAGAAAACTTCTGGTCATGCTTGTGATTGTGGCGTCTGCTCGAAAAAGCTTTTCACAATTACACAAAAATCAAAAATTATTTATTGTCAACTATAAACCAAGAGCGTTTTCTTGGACGTTCACTTACTTTGTAGAATTTGTTTGTTTGTAGTTAAGCGCAAAGCTATACAAAGGGCTATCTGTGCTCTGCCAATCACGGGTATCGAAACCCGGTTTCTACCGGTGTAAAATCACAGACATGCCGCTGTGCCACTAGGGGGCTTTCTGTAGAAAATAAGATAGCAAGAATTCTGGACTTCTTGGTAGAATCAAAAGTTAAGCTATATTTCGAATGATTAAATTTAATTAACATCTCTGCATTTAAAATACAAATACTCTGATTTTATAAACTCTTTGTTTGTTGTTAAGCGCAATTCTATACAATTCTCTGTCCACCAAGACTATCAAAATCTGATATTTAGCTTGATAAGTCCTCAGTCATGCTGTGCGTTTTTTGGGGCTGTATAGTTAGAATTATTATTATTTGTATATTTTTACTTTATATAAAAGCAATAACATAAATCAAACATTGTTATTATTTTATATCTATGTATTAAGGATTAATGATTACAAGTACCTCATTTCAAGGGCAAGACATGGCCTAGTAGTTAGGGTGCCCGGAACGTAAATTCGAGATTCGCTTAAAATGAGTGAATCAGTGAGTTGGTGAGATGATATGGCCTACTTCTCCATCAGAGTTGCTTCAATTCATCAACACTATTTGGATGTAAATCAAATAATATTCCACGCCTCTTTTCCAAGTAGCTGTTAGACCATGGTGGGGAAGCATGTTATCATCCTTTAGAAGTATTGGTCAACCATGTATGTATATGGCAACATGCACCCTTTTATTGTATGACATTCATAGTGCCATGCCGTAGTACGTAAAGTCCAGTTTGACCACTATTATTAATCCCTGCCATATGCACATCTTCCCTTCATAAAATTGGGATTGAGTCTGATCCCAGTCACTCCACAAATGTGTGTGTGTGTGTTTGATATCAGAATGCAATGTGAATGCTAATTCATCTGTAATCGAAACATTTGCGTAAGACATTTGAACAATCTACACGTTTTCAACACCACTGAAGATGGGCTGCTTTGTAGTGGTGAGATCACTTTTGACCACTTATGACTGACATAAAGGCTATTATTTAATGAATTTTGTTTCTGGCTGTTTGCGTGCCGACCTGCTGTCTAGCTTTTTATATTAACCATTGATTCAGTTAGATAAATGACGTCTGAGTTCAAGTCCATATTGTAAAATAGCCAAAATACTGTAAAATAGTGTTAGTTTTATTGGTTTACCAACAAAAGTCTACACTGTACTGATCTCTAGCCTACTGTATAGGTTGTCTGAAGGTTAGTCCACATCCTGCTAGCCACAGTTAGTGAATCTTGTAACCACTCCACAATGACAGCTTGTGTTCAAAGTGGCTTCTAGCTAACCCGTTGCTTTCCACTTCATGAAAATCACTAAATATCTTCGTTAGGGCCTTGACATATTTCACTCTTATTTTGGATGATTTCGCATACACTACTATTGTTCGTACTGTTAACCACGAACACATTAACTTTAGTATTTATATACCACTAAAATGTACATATCAGATAATATTATGTTCATTTCGTTTTTATATACCACTGGAATGTTTATATCAGATAACATGACGAGTCACTCGACATTTGTTTTACTTAAAATGACCTCAGGAATGCCATTCGTCTATTTAGTAACAGTAATCGTTACTTGTTATAAAAACTCTGATTATCCCATAATTGTTTTGAGTAGTGAATTTGTTGAACTGTATCTATCTGGAGTGTAAAGTGCTGAATGGAAAAGCTCTGGTCATAAAATAAGAAACTTCTAATTCTATTTATTTCGTGGACACTGTAATATACGAGTACAAATATTATCATATCCATAACCAGTGAACTTTTCCGCTCAAACACTGTAATTGTCCCTTCTTGTGTAGACAGACAAAGAACCTAACAGATCATTACTGTCCCTTGGACAATGGCAAATAGTGACGAGGAAAGTGTAGGAGACAAACCAGTATATTTTCATTTACTGTGTTAATGTGTGCAGGATTCCTCAATTATCGGTGACTGCCGATAGTAATTCATAGTAGTTGATATTATTCTCCAAGCATCTAAAGAACTTTAAAGTACTATAGCACCCGGTGCTTATCAAAGCACTCATCAGGCATACCCACTGTCAGAAACACCCGAGTAAACTTAAATGGTAGTAAAGCCGCTATCAAAATCAATTGTTTTTTTCCATTAAAATACCAAAAAAAAAAAGTAAGCCACCAGTAAGGATAATTTTTCGTCCATGAATCCACGCGTAGTTTCTAATGTTGAAGATTCAGCGAAATCATCTTTGACAAATAAAAATTCTTGAACCCACTGCCAACTTTTGAAAGCAAGACTATAAGGCTTTTTAACGTTTGCAACTGTTACTTGATAGCATACTTTTTCTTATGCATGTATGTAATTTCCTTCTATACAATTTGAATTTTGTCCATAAATAGAGAGGCTTCCATTCGAATAGTCAAGCAGTATACCTTAAATTATTTTTGGTGGGAATTTGAAATTCAAAGAACTGAAGAAAATAAACAGATGAAACACTTTAATGCTTCCTAATATTGGTCATGGGTTGTGATGTAATTTGAAAGTCATCAAGATAGTTAACAAGAGTGAAGCTTCTTCACGACATGTTCTAGCAATAACTTGAGAAATTCAATGAAAGATCAGGAAAGAGAATTGGACAGGCTAAGACACAGACAATTACCAACAAAATGTTCAGCTTCACTACCTTCACAGTAGTTCCAGAAAGAACGTAATAACTAATGATGAGTTGGAAAAACAGGCACGTGTCTATAAGCTCCCTAAATATCCACTAATGCAAAGAAACGGTTATAAAACACGACTTTCATCTTTTCTATTTAAAGAAAACGATTCTACGTGCGTGCAGTCACTTAAGGCATTATTTATGTGTCTGGTACAATTACAGATGGGTCTTCCACAACAGCCCCATTAGCTGGAATCCTCTGGATTTGTGGTAAATATGGTTACAAATGATTTCCTGAAGGGAAAAGGCATCCAGTTGTCTCTTAGCTAGCAGCTGTATAACAGAAGAATAATCTTGACACTCAGATTCCGGTAACTGCATAAGATTATCAATTAATTTGAACTCGTGTGCTAAACTTTAATACAATACTTATCTGAGTCGATTTTGAGCTCCGTGCATTTGACATTCAAACAACAACATTGCAAGATTTAGGGAAACAGCTGTCTCATTTTGCCCATCAACTACATAGTTGTCAGGCATCCAACAAACGTTGATTAATACTGACTGAAATAAAGTTAAGAAATGGAGGTTGCTATTGTAATAACTGTTTATTAGGGTTACCTATTTGGGAATGAAGACAAATAATGTGGAATCTGTTATTCTTAATACCAAATCTAATGCCTTGGGTATTGTCGTGCATAAACTCATAACAACTAGCATCTTAGCAGACACTGTTTTTCTCTGAATTGTAAATGAGAGTATAAGTACCAGTTTTAGCTGTTGTTCTGTTTAACTCCATTTCCATAGTGAAAGTAGATGAAGGGGAGTATTAGTTGCTTTACCAGTACTAACTTTAATAACTTGCTCGACCAATGCAGGTAAGCTAACCAATCTGATGAACTGTGTGTGTTCAGGTGTGTTAACCAATCTGATGAATTGTTTGTGTGTGTTCAGGTGTGTTAACCAATCTGATGGATTGTGTGTATTCGGGTATGTTAACCAATCTGATGAATTGTATGTGAGTGTTCAGGTGTGTTAACCAATCTGATACATTGTGTGTATTCAGGTATGTTAACCAATCTGATGGATTGTGTGTGTTCCTGTACTTATGAGTCTAACATTGCTAGAGTCTTATGACGTCAGCCGAAGCTTTTTTACTACCCTTCATAAAGTACGCCTCTGATCTAAACAAATTTCAAGAGAATCAACAATTTCTGAAGTAATTGCCATAAGCAACAACTTTGTACCAAACTGCAACAGCTCTCATGTTCTTTGTTTGGTTACATTTTCTTTGCCTTGCCAAATTTCTTCTGTTAGATTGAGTTGGTGGACAGACATGCCTACATTACAGTAGCTACCAACAAGCTGACGAGAGTTAGATGGCGACACAGATATCGCACAATTCTCATACAGTTGTAATTAGATTAATGGTTAATCTTATGCACGTCAAAATAATCTTTCTCAAGTATGCTTTGTACTTACGAAACCAAATAAAAAAGGTAAGAAAAGTAGTTGTACAACACCCTAATTTTACACTGAATACATTTTTATTTCTCATTTCAGTCGAATTGAAAAATAACATTTCAACCAAGGCATTAGCAAAACACTTAAGTTTCATCAAACTATTATTAAATAACTATCTATCTATTATAATTTATTAAGATGCATATCTAGCTTCTAGAAAAAATAAATTATAAGTGAGGATAATCTCATTGGCTTAGTTATTACTGAATTCAGCCTTAGAAATTAAGGTTTTAGACATTATACTAAAGAGACTTTCAGTGTAGGATAAAAAGTTTTTATAATTGATTTTTCTGTTTTCAGATTCTTTGAAGGTGTCCATTGTGTACCTATAAAGTGTAACATATGTTAGGTTAAACTACCCTTCAAATTTTCTAGAGAATGCATAATATCTTATACTTTCTTAATATGTTTTATTTAGAACATATGAATGGTTTTATGGTGGGTTTAATCATTTTTAAAGTTTATCAGAGAGCAACTATAAGCTTGTATTTTTTGTAGTTTAGACATTGAAGTTTCTTAGATCAGTCTTCATGTTTCTCTGCAGGTTGGACCCAGTCCAGAATGCAGCCGTGCTCTAATGAAAATGTCCTACTGTCCTCATTGCAAGGGTCTGCCAGATCTCAAGCCTTGTGCCAACTACTGCTTGAACGTTATGAAGGGTTGTTTGGCTCATCATTCAGAACTTGATACTGACTGGAATAGTTACATAGGTACGAAATGCCTACATGAATGTTTTCGTAGTTAGAATAAACTGAAAAGTGTTAAGGAAAACCATAGTGATAAACATACGCAAACTGAAAAATGTCAGCTCATTTCTGAAAGTCTTTAAACCGATGATAGAAACAATTTCATTTCTTATTGAACATCTGTAGGGATATTTAAATTGCAATTATTTTGTGTGAAATAACCTGTGCCGTTTCTGATTATATCAAGTATTGCTGTATAATTCTGGAAATATTTGCATTGTTTGTGATATTTGGAACTTCCCAGAACTTCTACAATATATCGTCAAATACAAACCACACTTATAAAAGAAACGACCAATTCCTAGAGATTCGAAATCAGTCTCTTGAATAACTTTTATAGTGTTGTCAAGAACACCACATTTAATTCCCGAAGTTTAACTTTAAATCATTCGACTCTCACAGTGAGTATATTGTTGTTGTTGTTAGACGTATAGTTACACTGTACTGTGCTGTCCCACCTCGGTATCAAAAACCGATTTTTAGCATTATAAGCCTTCAGTCTCACCACTGAGTCACCGGTAGGGTGGTAATTAGGCATATACTGTGCTAATTTCATGTTAAAAAACTAACCAAATATTAACTCGAGTATTATTGTTTGTTTGTTTGAAGTTAACCACAAAACTACACAATGGGCTATCTGTGCTCTGCCCACCATGGGTATCGAAACCCGGTTTCTAGCGTTGTAAGTCGGCAGACATACCGCTGTGGCACTGGGTGGCAATTCGAGTATTAATTTCGTTCTTTAAATATCATTAAAAATACGTATTATAATGAATCTTGTATTCCTTTGAGGAGTAACGCGGATCGATTTTGGTGGTAATTTTGTAGAGTTTCCATATGACTTTACATCAGTTGTTTGTGTAAGTTATCTTTGCTCCGAATTTTTTATCATGAATATTTCAAAATCATCTTGTCTTTCCATGATTGGAGTGGCTCAGGAATGGAGTACATTTAACAGTGTAAGTCTGTAATCCATAAGTAAATGTTTCTAGAACTGAACTGTGACAAAACAATTATTTGAAAGAACTAATCTCAGTTGTCACTATAGTTTTCTCTCAGCAGAAATTAAGTAGTAAGCAAAATAGGATAATGTTTTCGAAAGAAGAATAAACTGCTCATCCAGTAATCAACACTGGTACAGTGTGGGATGACTCTGATACCCATCAACACTGGTACAGTGTGGGGTGACTCTGATACCCATCAACACTGATACAGTGTGGGGTGAAGTCACCCCACACTGTACCAGTGTTGATGGGTATCAGAGCCCGATACCCATCAACACTGGTACAGTGTGGGGTAACTCCGATACCCATCAACACTGAAACAGTGTGGGGTGACTCCGATACCCATCAACACTGGTACAGTGTGGGGGTGACTCCGATACCCATCAACACTGGTACAGTGTGGGGTGACTCCGATACCCTCGCTTCTTGTGCATACTAAAGCCTGAACCGTTAGCGTTATAGAATTGTTGTCGTGGTTAGTAGCCTAGACTGCAGTGCTTCTCAACTGGGTAAATGGTTCACCCAGGGGTTAATGAGATCAGAATCATGGTGACTGATGATGATGGGGTGAATAGCAGAGTTAATCGGTATTATCAATTATATAACAAATTCAAGAGCAAAAAAGTCATTAGTT